CTTGGGAGCCCGTTCCAGACCTTGGCCACTCTAACTGTGAAGAAGTTCTTCTTAATGTCCAGTCTAAATCTGCTCTCTGCTAGCTTGTGGCCATTATTTCTTGTAACCCCCGGGGGCGCCTTGGTGAATAAAACCTCACCAATTCCCTTCTGTGCCCCCGTGATGAACTTATAGGCAGCCACAAGGTCGCCTCTCAACCTTCTCTTGCGGAGGCTGAAGAGGTCCAGGTTCCCCAGTCTCTCCTCATAGGGCTTGGCCTGCAAGCCCTTAACCATACGAGCGGCCCTTCTCTGGACCCTCTCCAGGTTATCCACATCCCTCTTGAAGTGCGGCACCCAAAATTGAATGCAGTATTCCAACTGCGGTCTGACCAGAGCCCGATAGAGAGGAAGTATCACCTCCTTGGATCTGTTCGTCATGCATCTGCTGATGCACGGATGAAACACCATGGTGTATATAAGCACCCATTGAGACCAAAACTCCAAACCCAAGGAAATGTTTTTTTCGTAAAGGAAGAGAAAAAAAATAATTTACTTGTAATTCCTCAGGGGCACCTGTGTTCAGCTTTTAAAACAAATCAAGTCTTGAAGTTGCCTCAGAACTGAACAATGGATATTAAAAAAAAATAGCCAGCCAGGGCCTGAAGGTGTAGGTTAAAAATAAGCTGAAATCAAATGCGGGAACAGTTGCCTGATCAATACTAAACTGCAGTTATAGTTTATGTAGATGATGTTTTAATTCATGGACCCATGCAAGAATTTATAAAGTTATCTGTGCAATATTATAAATTATTCAAGATACAGGATTTAAAGTTAAGAGACAAAAAGCTCAACTAGTACAGCAGGAGTTAAAATATTTGGGAATCATTTTAGGCCAGCACAGTCAAACTCCAGATGCCCAGTGGGTAGAAGTGATTGAAAAATTACCAGCTCCCACCAATGCTCATTCATTAACAGCCATTGGTACCTTAACTATAAGCTATCCATCCTATAATTTTATAACAAACATAAAATTATTGAAGAGCTAGGTTTAATTGAAAGCTATCAATAACTTCCCCATCAAAGGGGGGAGCTCTTTGTTTTATATTTCTTTATAGGAAGGCTGATGAACTGTGAGGCCTCAGAACCACCAATAGGATAAGCAGCATCTTCCTTACTTAAGCTATGTTTTTTTCTACAACAACGAAGATTGTCTTGTCTGTTTTGTGTTGCTCATCTTGTTGTTTAATTTATTTTAGCTGCTAAGAGTTAGATGCATATGAATATCATGTAGATGAAATAAAAATTATTGTGGATACACCATCTGTTTGCCTCCAGCCAAAAGCCCGTAGTAGCAGATTTGACACTTTCCTGCCTCCAGTAAAAGAGAACTTGAACTTTCCTCCCAGTGTCCCTGCTATATGAGGCATGTAGCCAGCTAGCACCTTTTACAAATGCACATGGGGAAGGTACTCAATTTCCCAAATGTTTATTGTTCCCATTATGCACTGCAGCCAATGAAACTCAATGGAGCAGCAGCAATAATACACCAGCTTGCAAGATGGGACCCATACAATGTATTTAAAGGAGCAATTTGTGAAATAAAAATGATGGCCAAGACAATTAACAGGGTGTAACCCTGCTTATCTTCATGAATAGTTCTCTGTCACGAAGCAGCTTGATACAGCTGCTGATTTCTGTTTTAGTTTATAATCAGTTTCCCCTCTTCATCAGCACAATGCAAAATGGTTGTAGATTCAGCATATGGGAAGAGATTCTAACTCCCACAGTTGAGCTTTCTTACACCTTAGTCTTGTGAAAGTCATGCAAAAGGACACAGGACAAAAGGGGCTCAATATTGCTTAGGTTTGAAACTTCCTCAGAAAACGTGACACACATCCAGCCAAAACACGAGGACAACAAATTTCAGTGAGGGCAGATTTTAACTGAATGAGGAAGTTAAATCCTAAACAAAGCAAAGTGGAAAGTTAAAGTCCAATTTTTCTGTGTGAAGTGACAGCAAAAATGACACCATTACTGAGCAAATTTGCTCCATGAGTTCACTAGTACAGTATCAGAGCTGCTGACTTCAATGCCAAATTTTTAAAGACAGTTAGGCATGTAAATACTTTTAATCATCTGGTTTCTGTGACTAAAGTGAGTCTGGCTTCCTTTGGTACCTGTTAGCCATGCAGAGTCAATACCAGTGGAAATAAAGAATTGCAAGTCTTTCTTTTATTTTTTTTCTTACACATCGGCAAAATGGTTTATCTCATCAGATCCACTCCTGCAAGAGCACTGAAAGCTGGCATGTAAGTGTGGTACAGGTGTCACTGGGCATTTCATTTAGCTTCAAGGCCCTAAATAAAGGTGTAAGTAGAAGCACCCCAGCTTGCCTCTCAGAATTCAGGCTGATTTTCTGATGCTGGTGATTAGGATGAAAAAATGGTCTTTGTGCTTAAAAAATAGGAACACCTGCTCTAGAATTGCTGTGGAACAATAAACCCCAAGTTATTTAATATAGTAGTCTGGTAAAAATGTGCATTTGCAAGTCATAAAGGACTTTTCCTACAATCAAGACACCAAACAGACTAGCGAAAGAATTATGTGTAAAGGCCCTTCTGGGGCTTAAACCAAGGTAATCCTGAATTTGCCTAATGATGAAAAGGAAGTGAAATTGGCTGTTAACTCAGTGAAACTGACTAGCTTGCTTTTGTTGATTCTCTGTACCAGAAGAAACCAGTAAAGACAGGGATGAAGAATAAAAGGTAAATAGGGGGTTTAAAAAAGCTTGGGCTACATTCAACCTAGCTGTCAGTTTCCAGCTGGACAAACTCACACATAGCTCGTTTGGTACCAATCCCTAGTGGAAACAGGGCTGCCATGGCACAATTATCTTCCACCCTAAGGGGAGTTGTAGGTTAGCAACCTTCCCAAAAAGTGGGTGTGGTTGGCCAGAGGGAGGGAAGAGCCAGATCAACTTGCTCTTAAAAAAGCTTCTTTCTGAAAGGAGGATGACAATCATTCCTGGTAAGAAAGAAAGAAGGGCTAGACTCCACTGATGGAGAAATCTGGAATAATCCATGTTCTTAAACTGCTGTGCGTCTGTCTAAAACACAGAGATTCCTTCTACTACTGAAATGCAGCCACCTCTGCAGTATAACATGGTCACTATTTAACAGTGCACAGCAGCCCTCCTCAGTGATTTTGAGGTAAGGAGAGAAGAATAGCATAGCCACTGAAATATGGATCCAAAATGTGATTAGCCACTGAAGTGTAGCAAAGGGACAGGGGCCTGGATCAATACCTCCAGCCTTACAAAGGGTGACAAGGAATTTTGAGGGATTACACATGCATGCTCAGTGTTGGTTCTCAAGAGAAAGATGGTGACTCCTAATACTGCTCTTCTCTAATCCCACCTGAGGGCATTGACTGATTTGGAGCAAAGAGCACTGTCTACTCCAGTAAGCCTACAGCACGGCCTCCTTTATGTTGGTGCATCTTCTACTACAGTGGTAGCCAACTGTTTTGGCAGGCATGCCACAAATTAGGCCACACCCTCCCAGAATGCCACTCTGATCCCCTTCCTCTGCCAGACCTGTAGCTCTGCTTTCTGCTCCCTCTCTGCTCCTTGTCTGATCTCGTGCTCTGCTTTCTGCATCCTTCCCTATCTGCTGTGCTGCCCATCCCTTTTCTGATCTGCAGTGTGCCACCCACAAAAGGCTGCTTGTGCCACTGGTTGGCCACCCCAAACACTGAATCCCCCCAAACACTTCTGCCTTGGAGCCTTTGGTTTTTTTGCACAGCTGGCATCTGTAGCAGGCAGTCCAGCTCTGCTTAAGTGGCCAGATGTGATGATTATACAGTGCCCTGAGGCACTATACCTTTTGGGGGAATGAAGCGTATCAATCCTGCCCCTTCCTTGTCATTTCACATGCTGATGGATTCCCTTCAGTACCCGATTATCTCCTTAATGGGACATGTGAAGCCTGCGCCAGACATGTTTGCTCCGCCTTTCCAAGCCAGTAGCTTGCAACTAGGCCTGCTTTATGGATTGGATGCAATCACTGACACCAGTCACTTTGGGAAGTCTGAATATAGAACTGGTAGTGACTACACAGATTTGTGGGAGAGCATGTGCTAAATTCAGAGCTTGCTGGCAACGTTCCAGCGGGTCCTAAAGTCAAGGGAAAAAAACTACAAAAAGGGGCTGGGATGATTCAGCACTGAGATTTTGCTGGAGAGTCTTGTGGTGTTTGTGCTCCTGGTGAGAATCCTATTCTGGTGTCAGTCTGGAGTGACTCCACTGACTTCAGAGGAAAGCAGCACATTCTGATCTTTGTGGTTTCTAAAAGAGAAGGCATCTTCCAGTGGGCTGCACTAATTCTTTGCAGCTGACTTCTCCTCTAGTGACCTGGAGTAAATTGCACTGAGAATTGCAGTAATTTGACACTCCCAGCTGCTGGCCTGACAGCAGAAAGACTTTTATGTAACTATTTAACTTGAGCTAAACATCAGATGTGCCAGATCTGCAGCTGGCAGAGCCCTGGATACAGCTGCTGAGCTGGAGCAAAACAGAGACAGCAAAGAGGTAGTGATTCTGGGGAGGGGGTTGCTTCTAGGCAATGGGAGAAGGGTGTTAGCTTGCGCAGGGCTTCCAAAGCTTTGCTGTTTTGTGTGGCTTGGCTTTGGCTGGAGCATGGATGCTGTGCAACTCATTTATTTCACTGCTTAAGAATGTAAAATGCTTGAATCACTTCCTAGAACTATCTGGACCTGTCTTATTTAACTCATTCCCTGCCATTGCAGGGGTTTGAGGTGTTGGTCTCTCTCTCCTCCTGTGATACTTGGTGGGTTTTGGGAAGTGTATAAGGGGAAGAGGGGGGCTTTGTGGTGTGTTGAAGAGGCCAGAATGGATGTTTCTATGGTCCCATTCAAACTAAATGTCTGTTACATCTTGAGGAAACTGGACTCTGCTTCCTTCCAGCCCTATGCTTCTAAATGCAGGGGAAAATGATGCTCAGAACACTTCTGGCTAAATGTGGGCACTTCAGAAACACATGTGCTGAATTAAGCTGTATCATCTTCCTCTCTATTCATGCAAAAAGCTGTTAATTCTTCTCTCTCAGTCTTTTCAATGGGAGTAGAAGGGGCTTCTAAATATTATTTACGGAAGGCAGAACAGCATTTTGTTGAATAGGTGTTTTACTTAAAGCAAATGGGAAGTAAGTTCTTCCCCAGCTTGTGGTTAGCACTGAAACCTACATTGCAATGAGTTTTTGGAGCAGGACAGAGTCCATTTAGTGTCTTATTCCAAAGCAGTTTCTGAAGACAAAGTGGGCCATTCTTATTTCCCTTCCCTTAATAAATTTGACTCGGATTTTGCTATGGTGTAGATCCATGGAGCCCCAATAATTTAAATCATGCGATAGGGGTTTATTATAGGAAAGTATTATAGTTTATAAAAATATATATTTTTGTAGGTGTTCCAAAGTGTGCTGGACACAGGGCTAAAGAACACGAATGGTCCTGTCTCTTTCTTTCCCCAAAGAAAAACTGACCTCTTTATTCATCACAGAAACCTCATTCCCTGCTCCCAGCCTATTTTCTTTTTAATAGATGGGATAAGAGAATTCCTGAATGGACCAAAGAATCGACCTGAAAAAATAATATCCTGGATAAACTGCTTTGGGCTTGTCTATATACACCCAAATATACTGATTTAACTTAAATTAGCTACATTATGCCAATGCAAACTCCTGTGTGGACCCATGTATATCAGTTGGAAAACTGATTCTATTGGTTTAGCTTAACTTTGAGTTTAAATAAAGCATTTTTTTACTTTGCATTTTAAATTAATTGATTTAAAAATAACTTAAAATTTAACTTTCAGTTAAACCGTGCGTGCAGGCTGCCTGCGTGTTCTGTTGAAGTAGGGTTAGGTTGAAAGCCTCTATCAGTGCTTTGAAGATAAGCCTTATCAGAGCATTGTTATAAAACCCTGAAAGGATGTTAAGAGTAAAGGTAACATTTACAAGGAACACCTACATTTGAAAGTCTGAGAGTCTACTTGATTCTGCTAAATTTATTTCATTGATTACCAGAGTATTAAGCCAGGTTTTGGACAGATGAGCTCAGTGTAATCACTGCCCTCCAGGTGAGACCTGACTTGGCATTTGAGAAGATGCAGATCTAAAAAAGCAAAGCAAGCAACAGAATTTTTATTTAACTTAAAAAACACAATCTCTACCTCAACCTTACAGGTGCCCGCTGTCTATCGTGAACAGCACATGACTATTTTTGAGAGTTCACTTGTACATGGAAAATTGAATGTTTGGTGCCAGTAATTTTAGCTCATAATATTAAGAAGCTTTGAGATCTAAGACCTGGTCTCCACTGATGTAAGTATGTTAGCTAAGGGAGTGATTTTTCTAACAAAATAACTACTGATATATTCCTTAGCATGGATGCAGGGTTAACATGGCAGCTGCTGCTGCTGGTAAGTCCTGTCCTGAGTGCGTGATGTGAAATGCTGGATTCCACAATGAGAAAAGCATGTCTAGGGACCCAAGAGGGTCTCTAACCTGATGATGTTAACTCCCTGGCTGCTGGCCATACCCAGAGCAGTGGTGTATTCCATGGGGAGAAGCTGATGAAGGGACTCCCATCCCCACTCCACTGCTGGAGCCACAAGTTCTGCTACCTCCATTTTGGCAACCCCCCCGCCGACCTGTTCCAGCATCCCCTCCCCTTTAGTCAGTATCCAGGGCTCATACTCTGCTTGCCTGCTCCTAAATACACTACTGTGTCCCAGCTATGTCAAGTACATATTGTTCTAACTGGAAAAGAAATCTGAGGTCCACAGCTCTGGACCTCAGAGCTTCCATTTCCCCACCCGTCACCCCATGGAAGAAGATTCAAATTCTTTTTTATTTTTTAATAAAAAAGAAAAATTGATGTTCTGCTTGCTGAAGTTGTTTAAATTCTCATTTCTTTGATGTTTCCCAGCCAGTCAATTACAACAGATGGAAACTGTCAAGAACAGCAATGACCTCAATAGCATCCCTGCAGTGGAGTTCACTGATAAAGACACGATACCGGGCACATCCTCCCACAGCGTTGTTACCATGGGGCCTGAGGAAGAAGAAGCAGGAGACTTCCTGCGTTCTTTCCCCACCCGAGAGTCCCTCAGGTCCCCCCGGGGCTCTGTTGTGAGCTTCCACGACATCCAGTACTCCATCAAGCAATCGAGCGGGTTCTTGTGCAGACGGAAAACAATGGAAAAGAAGATCCTTCACAATACAAAGTAAGCTCCTGCAGCATGAAAACTTTTGTGGAGGAAAGACAGAATTAAATCCCAGTGCAAATCAGGTAGAGCTGAGGGGCACTTGACTATCCCCATCAGAAGATTCTGTTTGGACTTCTTAGAGACTAGGGATAAGGAAGGAAAAGAGTTTACTGATTTCAAGGTTTGGGTGGAAAAATATTTTACTTTATTTCCTAAACTGCAACATTTGTCTGCGTCTAAAGTGAGACCCAAGCTGCATGCTAAGCTTCTCATAACTCTGTCAGAGGTAACCTTATTTTTCCTTCTTCCAGCGGTATTATGAAGCCAGGCCTCAATGCTATCTTGGGACCAACAGGGAGCGGTAAATCCTCGTGAGTATTCCCTCTGCACACACCACTTCAAATGGAGAATGAATAATTCTAGGTGGAAACTGGAATCCCCAAGGCATGGAAAGGCACTTTGGATTGTGTGGGCTAAGGCAGAGTGGGATTTAATGCCTTTCTATAGTGGGACCACTCTGGGGCCTCCCCAAAGGTGCGGCATGTGACACCCTAAGTTCTGCAGAGGCTGAGGTCCTGTGATCTATAGGTCTACATTATGAGTTATACAAAAAACTAGAACTCTTGATTCCAAAATGATACCTTTTATCAGTTGGTCTAATAAAAGGTATCATTTTAGAACCAAGAGTTCTAGTTTTTTGTACGTTTTTTTTTTTTTCTCTCAGACCAACACGGCTACCAAGTACACCCCTGATACATTATGAGTTTGCACTAATGGCTAAAATTACAGTGCAGACAAAGCCAAATCTTGGGCAGCAAACATCATGCAGCTTGCAACGTGCTTGGAGCCAATCAGAAGGCAGGCCCTAATAATTGCTGCTGGTGGAGTGGGTTATCCAGTCAAAAGAAAGAGCAAGTGTTGTGGTAGAATCAGTTCTGACCACAGAAGTCTTTAGATTTGGGCCAACCTTTTAAGGGCCTCCTTTCTTATCTTATGCCCAGATGCCTCCGTGCTGCTACTGAATTTAGGATTTGCGGTTGTTTGCATTTAGATTTCTGTATTTGAGACAAGTGGCCTATCATGTTTTAATGTAAAAAAAAAAAATGGTAATTTTTATGTAAAAGCTGCTTCTGTCCCATTCAAAAAACTAGGCCGCTACAGGCATCCCATAATAATGCCCAGTTCCAGAAAAACATTCCTGGTTATTTTTCCCCCTTTCTCTAGCTGTGGGCAGCACAGGGCAGAATCTAAACATTGTTTCTTGTCTGAAGTCTCCTAGATGTGCTGGCAGCAAGAAAGGACCCCGCTGGCCTCTCTGGGAAAGTATTGATAGACGGTGTCTTGCAGCCTCCGAATTTCAAGTGCATCTCAGGATACGTGGTACAAGTGAGTATCCATTTCTGGTCTCTCTGCCTCCAGGAATGATGGGTGTGAGAAGTAATAGTTCCTGGAGAGGAGACAGGGATGTTCAAGAGCTGCTGAAATTTTTTTTAAAGGGTCTGCTGGAGAATAGAAAGGAGGCATCCACATACATATGTGGTAATATGGGACATTAACCTGGTTAACAAATCCCAGACAGGGAGGTCTCAATGACAACCCTGTCAGTACAGGTAGGGGGTAGTTCAGGGCCCTATGGGTACAGGCAACATTGTCAGCAACAGAGCTAGCCAAGAAAACGATGTGTATTTGTCTTTTTTTTTTTTTTTTTTCATTCTCTCCTCTCCTTTTGGACTTGAATAATTCAGCATGATTCAATAACTCAGTATCGTATCATATCATACTAAATACGATATTATTCAGTATGATATGTTCCAGCACAGGGAACTGACCCTTGGTTCAGAAAAATGCTGAGCTCACTTCACGGTTGGCCCTTCTAAGTTGAATAGGTCGCTCTTCTCATGTTTTGTCACTCTTCTCATGTCCATAAATTTCATCCTGAACCTGAAAAAGTTTTAAGTCAGAAAATTCAGTTTCCAAGGGGGAGATCAAGACAGTTATCTGGCAATAAGTCAGAGGATCATCTCTCCTCCTAAAGCTTTTCATCAACCTCTAGCAGGAA